GTAGTGATACTGCCTCGGAAACCCAAGGAGGGGTCGCTATGAGTCAGGGCTGACTCGACGGCACATAACAACAACAACAATATATTTTGTTTATTCCTTATACTTCTGGATTGTTTATTATCTCTGTATTTTAAAATGCTTTGAAAAGGTGGAGGTCTTTTTGAGTAAAAAGAAAGAGGGACTCAGTCTTTCCAGAAGTTTCCAATTGACTTAATCATCTTTTTCCCCAACATCTATCAGGTTACAAAGCAGCTTTGGGGGCGCAGTGGTAAAGCACTCAGCTGCTAACCAAAAGGTAGATGGTTGGAACCCACCAGCTGCTTTGTGGGAGAAAGATGAGGCAGTCTGATTCTGCAAAGATGTACAGCCTTAGAAAGCCTATGGGGCAGTTCCACTCTGTCCTATGTGGTTGCTATGAGTGGAATTTGACTTGATGGCAGTGGGTTTTGGTGGGTATCAGGCTACAGCCCCCACAACCTGTCCTCATGCACTGATGGGAAGGACCAGCCCTGGTTGAGGCCCTTTTGTCTAGACGTCCAGCCTGGTCTGAGTGAACTGCTAGGGGGACTGAATTGGTGACAGAGCTGAGCTCTGGGGTTCTGGTGATTGCCCTGGAGTTGGGGTGAGTCGCGGCCACTGCACTAGTAAAAGCTGTGTGATTGCATCTGCGGCTCCCAACCACAGGGAGTAACTGAAAGTCCCCAAGAGGACGGCTTCATTGTGATTTCCTGAAAGATAAGGGAAGAGTGAGCATATCACTAAACCCGAACCCAAACTAAACCCCCTGCCATCCAGTTGATTCCGACTCATAGCGACCTCCTGTGGCTTTCCAAGGCTGTATTTCTGGGAATAGATTGCTTCATCTTCCTCCCGCGGAGCAACTGGCGCGTTTTGAACTGCCGACCTCTGGTTAACAGCCAGATGGCTTGCCCACTATGCCACCAGAGCTCCTTAGTTTGCAGAAAACACCTCATCTCTGACTTCTCTCTCTAGCTCATGCCTGTGGGGCTCGGAGCACAGGAAGTCGTTGGGAGAGATCCCCGGGAACGGCGGGATACAGCATGGAGCCCTCGAGCAAGATGGAGTTCTTCCAGAAGCTGGGCTACGGCCAGGAGGACGTGGTCAGGGTGCTGGGCAAGCTGGGTGAGGATGCCCTGGTCAACGACGTGCTCCAGGAGCTCATCCAGACTGGCAGCCGCCCCGTGGCCCAGGAGCGACCGGCAGGGGGCGCCGCTGCACCCCTGCTCATCCCTCGGGGGTCTTGTGGCCCACGGGACTCGGTCCAGTGCCGGCCGGGGACAGACCCTGAAGAGGAGTGTGGAGGCCTGGCCAGTGCCTTGAGACCCATAGTGATTGACGGCAGCAATGTGGCCATGAGGTAGCGTTCTCTCGTCCGTCCATAGGGAGCAGGGTGGGCGGTCCGTTCTCAGGAGCTCCAGTGCGGCCCCTCTTCTCTGCGGTTTGGTCCAAAAGAGCTCTGGGGCCAGTGGATTGGGCTTTCCACCTCTTACAAACAATGTGGCCTTAAGCAGTCACTTAGCCTCTCCATGTGTAAAGTCGTGATAATACCTCTCTGGAAGGAAGTTGTAAAGATCAGGGGTGCACAAAATGTGTAGGACAGAGCAGGTGGCTGTTATTTCACTAATCCCTGAGTAGTGGCCCTCACCTGGGAAGGCATCAGGGAAGTGGGAGGAGCTTATGGTGGGATATGGGAAAGCTAGAACATCTCCAGTTTCCTCTTCTGTGACAGTTAAGAGAATCAAATGGGAAATGTTCCTTTCCTGCGTTGGGAGCCCTCTGCTGGGGGTGTTCTAGGGGGTTGCAGTTCCCCTACTTAAATTTGAGAGATGTGTTTGTCGCCCCTGGTGGCACAGTGGTTAAGCCCTCAGCTCTAACCAGCAGGTCAGCGGTTGGAACCCATCAGCCACTCCATGGGAGAAAGATGTGGCAGTCAGCTTCACTAAAGATTACACAGCCTTGGAAACCCTTGGGGCAGTACCACTCTGTCCTGTAGGTTCAATGGGAGTTGAATTCACTCCAAGGAGTGGGTTTGGGTGGATTTAAAGGGGCTGTAAGAATCCAGCAGGAGAGAAAGTCTGAGAGCGCTTGTGAGAGGCAGCCTGGCTCCTGGGTGATTTGGGCAAGACACTTCTCTCTGGGCACCAATAGAAAGAGGCTTTGGATGCAAGATGATGTTGCTTAAATTGAAGATCTTTCTAAGACTATAGGAATTCTGTGATTCCAAATCAAAACAGCCCAATGTCTGAATAGTAAAAAGAGTTCATCAGAGGCTCTTAGGGGGAGGAAGTGGAACCCTCAGGCCAGTGTTGGACTACTCCTTGGTCTCCTATTCTTGATTGTTCTAAGGAACACATTCTTCACGGGTATTGTTTTATAATTCTGTCTATTATTTGGCCTAAAGGTGGTGTTCTGGTTACCTAGTGCTGCTCTGACAAGAATATACCACAGATGGGAAGGCCTTAACACACAGTTTATTCTCACAGTTTGGAGGCTTTAAGTCCAAGTTCAAAGTGCCAGGCTCTAGGGGCTGGGTGAAAGCCCCTCAACCTTAGGCTTCAGCTCTGCCTCCTGCTCCCGGCCCACTGGAGCTAGAGGCTTTTCTTCACTCAAACAGCTACTGGCTGCTGAGGCTGAGAAGCCCCAAGGTTGACAAATAAAAGACACAGTCCCGATATTACCAAACCACATGACAGGTCATTAATTCAAGTCCACTGAAAGTCCCAAGGTCGGCAGAGTATGGCAGGCTGCTGAACAACGACACAGCTACATGTAGGGTCCGAGCGTCCCATAAATAGAGACTGTTCCCAAAGCTGCTTCTTATATAAGCAGACCACATACCCAAAGCAGGAACTCAGCTGCTCCGATAGATTTCACCATGGAGTTAATTACCAGTCCTACCATGGAGAATAACTACATTCAGCTGCCCAGCCATGTTGACACACAAACTTAACTACCACAGGTGGCCTCTGGGAGTGTCTTCAGTTTCAAGTTAAAAGGTTGTTTCAGGCCAATAGTCTCAGGGATTCCTCTATTCTCTTTCAGGTAGGTAAGTTTTTTTTTTTTTAATTTTGTTCTACTTTTTTTTTTTTTTTTTTTAATTTTCTAACCGGAATTTTTTGTTGTGGTCTTGGTCAGAGTGGTTGGTAGTGGTAGCCGGGTACCATCTAGTTCTTCTGGTCTCCAGTTAGAGGAGGCTGTGGTTCATGTGAGCCGTAGTCCTTTGGACTAATTGCTTCCTGGGATAGTAATTTCTTTCCATCAGGTTCTTATTATTTGGTTCTAGTATTTGCTCTAAGCCCATGTGAGAACTATTGAAGGCTTTGCTTGTTTCCAAAATGCTCTGCAAATCCTAAGTATGGCGATCCTTTCTCACTAATGTGAGTGCTCTCTTCAGCATTCTCTCTAGAGACGAGAGTTATTTAGGAATTGTAGGATAGAGATAAGGTGGAGGGTTTTCTTTTGATGGAAGTCTCTGCTACTTGGAATTCAAAGTTAAACCACCTCCTCTACTTACACATGACCACAGTATATCCTGAGCAAGTCCATTAAGTCTCCCCCTCTACTGTAATTGGTATAATCCCTTCGCTATCTGTGTGTGCTTACAAATGGAAATTATCTAGGAGATTTATTATGAAGAATGTGTCCAAACACCAATGCTTTCACACACTTCCCGCCTATAAAATACTTCAATTAACCAGAATTAAGTGTGTCTCTGTATGTTTGTCTGTGTGTGTACATATATGTATGTTGTTGGCTGCTGCTGGGTCTCCTCTGACTCATGGCAGCTCCATTCACAACAGAAGGAAACACTGCCTGGGCCATCTTCATGAACGTTGGTGTTCTGGTTCCCAAGTGCCGCTCTGACAAGAATATACCACAAATGAGATGGTCTTAACAAACAGGAGTTTATTCTTACAATTTGGAGGCTTTAAGTCCAAGTTCAAAGTGCCAGGCTCTAGGGGCTGGGTGAAAGCCCCTCAACCTTGGGGTCCAGCTCTGCCTCCTGCTCCCGGCCCACTGGAGCTAGAGGCTTTTCTTCACTCAAACAGCTGCTGGCTGCTGAGGCTGACAAGCCCCAAGGTTGACAAGTAAAAAGGCACAGTCCCGATGTTACCAAACCACACGACAGGCCATTAACTTAAGTCCATTGTAAGTCCCAAGGTCGGCAGAGCATAGCAGGCTGCTGAGCAATGACATGGCTACGTGAAGGGTCCAAGCGTGCCATAGGCTAGAGACCATTCTCAAAGCTTCTCCTTATATACAGGAAGCAGTCCACATCCCAAAGGCAGCTACTCAGCTGCTCATAGTAGATTCCACCATGGAGTTGATTGCCAGTCTCATCATGGGGAATACTCCATCCAGCTGCCCAGCCACTCAACCAGACCTAGCCAAACTGACACACAAACACAACCATCACAGTTGGTGTCCATTGTTGTGGTTACTGTATTCTGAGTGCCTTCTGATGGAGGGGCCCCCTGCCAGCACTGTATCATAACAGTGTTCTCTTGTGAGCCATGGGGTTTTCATTGGCTAATTGTCAGAAGTAGATTGTTAGGCCCTTCTTCCTAATCTGTCTTGGACTAGAAGCTCTGCTGTAATCTGTCCATCATGGGGGACCCTACTAGTAGTTGAAACAATGGTGGCATAGCTTTCAGCATTGCAGTGACACTCAAGCTACACACACTTATGTTTACATACATACAAACATCACCTCTGCCACCTCCTGAGTCACAATGGTTGGGAAAAAGGAAGAAATTACACAAAGACCACATGGTAGCAAGACTTAATTTGTTCCTTTCCAAGACAAGTTCTACAAGAGAGTTGGAGCCTTAGGTCTGGCTCTGTCCCTCCCCTCTTCTGCAGTAACATCTTACTGTGCCCTCCAGTGAGAGTTCCAGTGAACAAATGACAGTAGGGTGCCCCCAGATGCTCCACAGAGAGAAGGCTGCAAAGGTGGGGCTCACCCTTTAGAGAGAATGGGTGATTGAAACCCAACAGTGTGTCTCATTGTCTGTTAAACTGAAAATCCTCTTAACCTTGGAAACCTCTTAACCTTCTGAAAACTCTCCCGCACCGAGGATTTGCAGTGCTGCAAACTTGCTGTTTCTTATTGGTTTCTCTTTCAGATTTTTACTATGGTGAAATACTGATAACATAAAATTGGCTGTTTAACCATTTTTAAGTGTACAATTCAGTGACATCACTTGCTTTGCAATGTTGGGAGGGGACAACACTGACCACTCTACTTCCAGAAGTTTTCATCACCCCAAAGAGAAACTATGAACCAATTAACAGTTAGTGCCTACTTCCCCTCCTCCCAGCCTCCAAACCCACTTCCATGGAGTCGATTCTGACTCCTAGTGACCCTCGTTGGGTTTCCAAGGCTGTACATCTTTACAGAAGTAGATTGCCTCATCTTCCTCCCAGGGATTTGTCATTTGGATGACAGTTGGTGGGTTTTGAACCGCTGACCTGGTTAGCAGTCATGTGCTTTACTCACTGTGCCACCAGAGCTCCTTTTCTCCCAGCCCCCAGTAACCAACCACTAATCTACTTTCTGTCTCTATGAATTTGGCCATTCTAGATATTTCATAGAAGTGGAATAATTTAATATTTGCCCTTTTGTATCTAGCTTATTTCACTTAGCATAACCTTTTTGAAATTCATTCATGTGGTAGCATTTATCAGAATTTTATTCCTTTTTATGACTGAGTAATATTCCCCTGTAGCACAGACCATGTTTGTTTATTCACTCATCTGTTGGCGGACATTTGGGTGGTTTCCACCATTTGGCTGTTGTGAATTGTACTGCTATGAACACTGGTATATAAGTATCTGTGACTCACTGCTTTCAATTGTTTTGGGTGTCTACCTAGGAGTGGAATTGCTGGGTGGTATGGTAGTTCTGGTAGCACAGTGCCTAAGGCACTTGACTGCTAACCAAAAGGCTGGCAGTTCAAACCCACCAGCCCCTCCTCGGAAGGAAAGTTGGGCAATCTACTTCCGTAGTGATGCTGCCTCGGACACCCAAGGAGGGGTCACTATGAGTCAGTTCTGACTCGATGGCACATAACAACAACAACAACAACACTTGTAGTTCTATGTTTATCCTTCTGTGGAACCACCGTACAGTTTTGTTCTTTATGTTTGAAGGTGATACTGCTTGTCATGCTGTCTGGTACTGGGGAGGAGTGGAGAGGGGCTTAAAAGTCCAAATGGGACCTTGTGTCCTTTCTTCCCAGAGCAGATGATAAATGCATCTTTTATTGGCAGTAGCATACTCTAGGATGCCTGCGGCCGATTCTGGCTCTGTCCTCGGGAGCCTGGGGCAGCCTGTGCCTTTGCTCACAGAGAACA